AAATCACCATCAGTCAAATGCAAAAAGCCGCACTGGTTGGATCTTCACGCATATTACGAAAATACGTTACGACGTCCTAGGCCCCTGGGTGGGGCCCGACTAGTAACCAATGCCAAATCCGGTGAAACAACTGGCCGCTGTGATACAATTGTAAAAAAATAAAGTATAAATAATAATAATACCAATAGGAAAAGCTAGTAGAAAGATGAGAAGGATAATAATACAGTCATACCACATTGGAAAATATATTTAGACATAAGATGATACGGTGGGAATTAGGTGTTCAGCAGAGTGATGGCACGAGGGGGAAAACTGTCTCTGTGTCTAGTTGTTTTAGCATGCAGTGCCCTGTAATGATGTCCCGAGAGGAGGAATTGAATTTATGTCCAGGATGTGAGAGGGTCTGTAGATACTTTCTCAGCCCTCTTTCTGACCTGTGAAATATACAGGTCCTCAACAGAAGGAAGGCTGGTTGTAACTCTTTTTTTTCTGTACTCTTAATTATCTGTTGGGATTCTGTATCTGTCCTGTTTGGTTGCTGAACCAAATCAAACACTTATAGAAGTACAAATGATACACTCGATAATTCCTCTATCAAGAATAGCACTTGAAGCATTCTGAACTTTCTGAGTTGATGGAGGAAGAACACTCTGTGTCTTTTTAATGATGGTTCTAATGTTAAGTACCCATTTCAAATCCTGGGAGATTATAGAACCCCAAAACCTGAAGGACTCTACTGTTGATACGTGCTGTCTAATATACCGGTAGTAAGAAGTGGTCGAATAGGAGGGCTCTTCCTAAAATCTATTCTCATCTCTATAGTTTTAAGCATGTTCAGCTCTAAATTGTTCCGGTTACACCACAGGGTTAGTCGTTCAATTTCCTACCTATATGCACTCATCACCATCTCAAATGAGACCAATGACTGTTGTATTGGTGTACTGCTGATTAGGCCTTAATTTATCATGTTGAGTAATTGTTGACTGTTGACTAGGCCTTAATTTATCATTTCATTTTACTCCTATACGACCAAAGCTGTATAATTCTTGGCAGTTTACAATCCTAAGAATATAACAATGTTTAAAAAAATCAACCCTATATCCTTAAATAGTGATAGAGATTATACAAAGATTATTTGCAAGTAATCCTCAATTTATGACAACTGGGCCCAAAATTTCTGTTGAGACATTTGTTAAGTAAATTTTGCCCCATTGAACAACCATTTTTGCCACAGTTATTAAGTAAATCGCTGCAGTTGATAGTTAGTAACCCAGTTAAGTGAATCTGGCTTCCTCATCAACTTTGCTTAGAAGAATCAACATTTCACTTCTACCCTAAAATGTATTGGAATACAGGGGACACGTGGCTGTATCTACTTTTATCTGCCCGAATCAGGTTACTGCATTCCATTGCATTGTAGTTTTTAAGTAGTGTCCAAAAATGTGATGCAGTGGTCTTTCCTAGTGTTGGTGAGAAAAAAATGCTGAACATATTTGAAAATCTTTATATATAACTTTATATAGGAGACTTTACATTTCAATGCACTTTTAACTTGAAATTATGTTAATGTGATAAGCAATTCCAATATTGTACTCAAAATTCTGTCACCAATTACATTTTTTTACAACTTTTATGACATTGATTTGTTTCCTACTCTTTTTATGGAAGGCTGCTGACTTACCCTTCTTTGCATGATACTCAGTAATTAGCTTCATATTATCTGTTTTCATATTACATATCTGGTTACCAGATCTACAGAGCAAAGGCAAGGTTAAAATCCTTGAACTTCCATATGAAAGAGCCTGGAAGAGGAAAAACCAAATTGTTCTTTCTGGATGAAGAAAAATACTCTTTATGTTATGGCAAATGAACTTCCAA